CCCCCACCCCACCACTGCAATTGCTCCCCAAATCTGGCAGAAATAATCCCCCCCACACACACACACAACAATAGGTAAGATAAGATAAGTAATTTTTTTCTTTGATGTTTGTTTGTTTTTTTTTTCAGTCTTTTTTATCATTATATCAACTAAAGACCAAATCGGTTCAAATTGAGGTTGATGCTCACAGTCACACACATTGGCAAACTGCATCTAAAAGGCACAGGCCATGACCGAGGACATAACTACCATTGTTTTGCCCTCTGTTTCTCTTGTCTGTCTTTTCTTTCTCCATTGCTGGCCAGACATCAGACAGATCTGTGACAAAGATCAATAACTCAGTGGGCCCTGTGCTCAACTTTAATTAGGAGAATAAACCACTCCTCCATGTGTGTGCGAAGAGAAGGACACTGCTTTGGATAGCTCAGACAAAAAGAGATTTGCTTTCTGTTTGATCTGTCAAAGTATTGGTAAATTTGTGATTTCTGAATGATGCAAAACACTTTTTAATCTTGACGTGATTTTTAGAATTTCCCTCATCAGTTGAAATGTTGAGTTTTGTTGTAAAATACTTTCTGTAGCTTTACTTAGTTCTGACATTTTATTGTTAATTTTCCTGTCTCTTTTCAAGGTAACCTGGGTCAAGCAGAGCTAATTGGCCGAGAGGCCTTGAAGCTCCTCCCCAATGACCACACCATCATGTTTTCATTGGCGAACGTGCTGGGGAAATTACAGAAATACAAGGTCAGTCAGCGTGGCTCAAACAACAAACTCGGACCACTCCGTGCATGTGAAGAATAAAAATATATTTTTTCATCACTTTGTTCTCTGCATCTGCTCTGTATCAAGAGTGGTAAATTTCTCTTACCACGAAAAACAATTCAGTTTATTTTTTATCCCTGTCTTTTAGGAATCAGAGGGCTTCTTTCTTCACGCCCTTCGGATCAACCCAAATGCTGCTAGTTGCCATGGCAATTTAGGTAAGGCCACTGCAACTTAGATTTTATGGTGTTGGCACATTCTGAGCACTCCTAAACTAAAATGATATTTATTCTTTCTACCAAAGTAATTTTGTGCAGCCAAACTTGTATTGAATGCATTAAATCAATAGAAATAGAATCGGTGCAGCTTTTCAGATTGAATGAGGTGTTTTGGTTTTCTTTGTCTTGTTTGGTTTCCCTCAGCTGTGTTGTATCATCGCTGGGGAAAGCTGGAACTGGCAAAAAAACACTACGAGTTGTCTCTAAAGTTGGACCCCGAGGCTCCTGGGACAAGAGACAACTACAACATGCTGCAACGCAAACTGGACCAGATTAAACGCAGCACACCCTGAGGGAGTCCACTGAGGACCTCCGCGTGTTTTAAAATGTTCCACTGTTTCATTTTGCTTTCTTTTATCTTACTTGTTCTAGCTTGGAGCATTTTCAAATAAAGACCATGATCTGTGTATCAGGCTCTAGTTTGTTTCTTCTTCTTTTAGAATATGGGTTAATACTGCAAACAGAAAACAAAAGCAGGATGTTAAATAGTTACGAATGTCGTTTTGTGGTTTTATCTAATCCTGCACACTCTTTCATGTGTGTCAAGTGTCTAATTTGATTTTATGGGTGCATGTTGGGCAGAGGTGCTGGATGCCTCAGCTGGAGACGAGCTGTTTTGTTGCCCCATTTGAAGGCCATGTGGACCTGATCCATGGTAAACCCCGTTCGCTTTTCATCTTTGACCCTGTGTTGTGTCAGCTGGACAGAGCACCGTGTAGGTCTAGGAAATCTGGTGTAGATCAGTTTTGAGCCTTTTTTTGTAAGACTTATTTATTTTTATTCACATCTGCTCAAGTTTGCCTTTTATAAAAGACAACTTTCTTAGGGATACATGTCAAATGCAGCAGCATTATACTAATTATTGGCTTAAATTACTGGCCACAATTATGTTTTTCTCTTGTCTTGCAGCAAGAAGGTCCTGGGTCTGAAATTATCTGCAGTGTTTCTGTATGGAGTGTGCACATTTCCTTTGTGCATGCAATKGTTTTCACTGGGTATTCTGGTGAATATTCTCAGTCGTTCAGGTCATGGTCAGTCACCCCAAAAAATGGTTAAAAACTGGTGGGCAGCACTAATTTAACAATTAGTTCCACTAGCCCTAAAACACTAACTCAAATATTTAGGTTCCCTAAATATAAAGCTCTAATGCACTGAAAAGTTTAGCAAAAGCTAATTCTAAAGCACTAAAATAACCCAGTCAATCTATGATCATTCTTCAACAGACAAAATGTGTCACACATTGCCATGTTGCTCTCTTAAGATAGAATAGAATAGAATAGAAATAGCCTTTATTGTCCTGCCGAGGGGAAATTCAGGTGTCACAGCAGCATCAGAGGTTCACATACTAGTTACTTTACAAACTATAAACAATGTACAAAAAACGAAATTAACACTGACTAGCAATGATACGACTACTAGAAATGAAAAATATAAAGAATAGTGCAAGAATAAAAAAGATGTTTTATTTTAGAGACAGAAGAATATCAGAATCTGTCATTAGAAATCAGAATTTGCCTTTTTTCGGTGCAAAATAATCTCAACAATTAACTGTAAAGTATCACAGTGCAGACAAAAAACACAGATGTGCAATGACAGCAGAATTATTTTAAAAGTTTTAAAGACATCATTGTCATTCCACAGCCGTATTTGAGTTCATTTATTGTCACCTGGTGGATAAGTGACACATATGACACATATGAACAAAACGAGTGACAGCTTTCACCCTCAGCTGTTAACATTAACATTGATCAATAACATTTTAWAGACCTGAGTTAGTGCTTTTAAATTTAGCCTATAAATTTAGCAAGTGCTAATCCACTAAAACATTTTAAAATTAGCAAAAGCCCTAAAGCACTAATTTGGAAATTAGTTCCCCTATTAGTTCTTTAGGGGAACTGTGCCCACCACTGGTTAAAAACAAAACAGTTGGACTTCTGTTCTGAAATTCTAATTTCAAGATTCAGAACATAAGTTCAGCTTTTTTTTTTACTTTTTTTTAATTTTTTTTTTATTTATTTTTTTTTTGGTTTTCTCTGGGTACTTTGATGCCCTCACAGTAAAAAAAAAAACATTTTTAATATTGGTGAATCTGAAGTGGCCTTATGTGTTTGGCTAAGTAGCTCTGTGATAGACTCCACATTACAGAAGAATACAGAACCTGAAGCTGAATCAGCGCAAGCACTCTATAGCTTGATGAAGAAGAAATAAAATTACACCTCAGGCAAATTTCTGTAGGCACTAACTTGCTGATGAATGAATCAATTATATTCATACACACATGGACAAAGTTGTTGGTACCCAATGTTCATGACCAAAAAAAAAAGCATACCATAATGGTCACTGAAACAACTTGAAACGGAGAGAAGTAATTATAAATATTCCATCCATTATCTATACCTGCTTAATCATTTCAGGGCCGCAGGGGTCACTGGTGCCCGTATCCAGCAGTCACAGTGTGAGGGTTGGGGTACACACTGGACAGGTCCCAAGTTCATCACAGGTCAATAATAAACAAGCATTTTACTAAAAGATATCTAATGAAATTCACACGTTGCTTTTGAATTATGGTTCAACATGTTTATTAAAAAACAACAAATGAAACAGGCCTGGTCAAAAAATGATGGTACCTCTTGAAAACATTGAAAATAAGTTGACTATAGGGCAGGGTTCCTGCAGATCCTTAAAAAGTCTTAAAAGCCATTGAATTCATCAATCCAAAAATAAGGCCTTAAGTAGCCTTAAAATATCTTAAATCAATCTTTCTGAAGTCTAAAAAATGTTAACACATTGTACATAGGATGATTGTAATTCAGCTCAAATATTAAAATAATTGGTAACATTTATTTTTTTAAATATTCACATGCAGACATTCCTCTTTGACATCACTTCCTGTTGCTTCACATGCAAATATCTCAACAGCTGTCCATCTGAGCATCGTGAAATTTGTTTCATAAAATGTCAATAATGTTGTCTTTTCAAAAATGCATTCACATTTCTTATAAACATTTGATGTCACATGCACTTTAAGGTTTCAGCTACAGCAAATTGGGGTTAAGACCCCACTGTGGGTCCTAAAACTCCAAATTTTGGGTCGTTAGAGGATTTCCAGAAATTAAATTAAGTTTAAAACTGACTGCTAAGAATGTTTTTGCTATAGTTAGATATGAATAAAAAGCAATTGGTCTATTAGCAATATTTGAATACTTCAACCAAAAATACTTTGATTCATGAGTTTCTGACAGTTTTTATTCTTTTGTCGTTTGTGTTTATTATAAAATTGGTCTTAAATTTAATTTCACTTGGCATTAAAAAGTCTTAAAAAGTAATAAATTAAACTTTCCTTWAACTGTAGGAACCWTGCCATAGGGACRWGTTAAATTAAGRTGTGTTCTCTAATTAGCATTATRGGTGTCTKCAAGCTTGCAATCAGTCAGTCTGGGTGATAAGTGCTATTAGGTGACATGGTGTATACGGCACTGAAAATGGAGCACAGGAAGCGAAGGAGAGAGTTGTCCAGGAGACTGGAATAAAAATTCAGAGACAASCATGGTAAAGGTAAAGGCAATAAAACCATYTTCAAGTATATTGATGCTCCTGKGATTACAGTTACACATATAATTAAGAAGTTTAAGGTCCACAGGACTGATGCCAACCTCCTTGGCTGTGATCRCAGGAGGAAAATWGATGACAAACTGAAGAGGAGGGTAAATGGTAAACAAAGAGCCCAGAACAACCTCCAATGAAATTAAAGGTCAGTACATCTCAGTACATTTAGCCCCACATCCCATTAACTATGTGCAGAATGGTTCCAATAACATGGCAGCATCCATCCGTAATCTGAATTCCATGTTGACAATAAACAATGGCAAAGGTGTTTCGTCCATCTTTGCCAAGAAGTCTTGATCTGCACACTGACTGACTCACTGAGGCATGGTCAACTTGTTAGCCAATGTGCCGGGCTGTATATTGTTCTTATTCTGCTTTTTGTTCCTAAGTGGGATTGGCATTCTGAGCTCCAAAACTTTTGCTAGCCCACACCACCCACGACACACCCTCTGTAGTTAATCGGAGAAAGGTGGTGGTGCTGGGAAGGTTTTCTCAAGTGTCCGCAACCAGATCAGGGGAGGGGGTCAGCAGAGACAGGAAGCCCATAGCTGGTGCTGTATGAAAACAGCTCTGTAGTGCAGAGCCTTCAAAGGGAGACAGGGATGATCTCCCCGGGGACTCGGCAAGCATGCACGCACATATGTACCCTCACACACATTGACTCCTCTTGAAGAAAGATGCAAAGGGAAAAAGGCAACCCCAATGTGAAACATCAGTCAACAAGTGTGCACCCGAGGTCAGAGTTCAACACGCTTCTATTTTTTCACCTGCTTCCTACAGCTTGCAGGAAACTTTTGAAGCTGTKGCGGGCTGGTATGGCTTTGCTTTAGGGCCAGCTAAGTTTGTTTACACATACAGTACAATACACCAGTTGATGCTTTGATCCTCGGGAGATGTTACTGATACGCTCCTTGGGGGGTGYCATAGCACACACGGCCATCAATGTCCTCTACTGATGACCTCCTCAAAATGCAACTAATGTCACCTGATGAAATTTCCGTCTTGCTCAACTCTTGTTTGTATTTTTGCTGCTTTGATGACAAGATTCAATGGCAGATATATCTTAAAGCACAACAAATATACTGGGCTCACAGTATATTGTTTTGTTCAAGATGAAACCTGTTTCAACAAGACTCAGATAAAGGTCAGTTTGGTGAAGACTTGATGCTGCAGAGAGAGTGCAGTCTAAAAATAAAAGATAAAAAATGTTAGTCTAGTAACAAGACTGAAAGCTGTTCCCCACATTATTTTGTTGTCATGCAGCGTAACATGCGGCGCTGCTGATGTACGATTGGTTGCAAAACCATTACCTCTTTGCTTTATGTACTTACGAATCCTTTCTTTACTTTCTGTGTGATCCTTTCATTCAGTGCCTGTAGCTGACTGTCTAGTTGCACAGCTGTGCTGGGAYACCAGTAGGGGATCCCACTTTTATTATAATCATTCTTTGAATACCTTTCATTATCATAAAATATGTGAGTATTAAAGGGATGGATTCACCGGCCCCACCAACAGCTTCATTATCTATTCTGACTGACAAAAACCTGCTGTCCTGGGGAGGAGACATTAATAAAAGATAGGATCCTAAAGCCTTAGGAAGTCCTCTTTTTTGTTTTCCAAGTTTTCTCTCTGCGCACCTTTTACCTGCTCAGAAATTCTTTCACCATGATATAATGAAATCACACCGGTTTGCTTTGCTCACCGTATTCAGTGGATTAGGTTGGAGTGTTTACTGGCAAAATACTACAAAACTGAAYCAAGACTTTTGTGTTGACTTCCAGAGAAATGGCTATTAAAAATC